GGGCAGCATTCTCCCTGCCCCTCCGCATAGTGCCACCCAGGCCTGCGCCTTACCTGCATGCAACTCTCCCCGGCCTGCTTACCTGTACGTATGCCTCCCACCCTGGGCATACACCTTAACTGAGTGTATCTTCACTCCACCACCACCTGTCCTTAGGTGTGTGCCTTACCAGCACATATTCTCTTTTCCTCTTAGGCGTATGTGTTACCAGTAAATCCCCCTCCTCCCACTTTGTTCACCTGGGCTGTGTCTACATTCGGATCCCTTTTCCGGAAAAGGGATGCTAATGAGAAGTCGGAATTTGCAAATGCCGTGGGGGATTTAAATATCCCCCGCGGCATTTGCATGAACATGGCTATCGCTTTTTTCCGGCTCGGGGCTTTGCCGGAGAAAAGCGCCAGTCTAGACGGGATCTTTCGGAAAATAAAGCCTTTTCCGGAAGATCCCTTATTCCTGATTTTAAGAGGAAAAAGGGATCTTCCGGAAAAGGCTTTATTTTCCAAAAGATCCCATCTAGACTGGCGCTTTTCTCCGGCAAAGCCCCGAGCTGGCAGCCATGTTCATGCAAATGCCGCGGGGGATATTTAAATCCCCTGTGACATTTGCAATTCCGACTTGTCTCATTAGCATCCCTTTTCCGGAAAAGGGTGCCAATGTAGACACAGCCCTGGTGTGCGTGTTACTAGCACAGAGTCTCTTACCCCAACCAGGTGCAAGCTATTTCCAAAACAGCCAGCTCCCTGTGGTCCTACCTGCTGAGTGATTCTCTTCCCATCTGTTGCAATGCATCGGGACCGGCCCCCAGAGCGGGCAGCCAGCTGGCCGGCTGACCATGTCATGGTGCTCATCTCCTACTGGGCTGAGGCAGCTGCTGTGCATGACCTGGGCTCCCATGGCAGGAACAGGACTGTCTATGATGGCATCTCCCAGCGCCTGTCCAAGCTGGGCATCTACCGCACGGGGGACCAGTGCCGGGAGAAGATGAAAGCTCTGAAGGTGGCGTATCGTAAAGCCAAGGAGAACAATGCGGCCGGGAGGCCGCCCATGCGCTGCCCCTTCTATGAGGAGATGGACCAGATCATGCAGCACTGTGTCAGCACCCGCTCCCACCTCCTGGCAGAGAGTGGTGAAGGACCTGGCACCATGTACGAGCAGGAGGGCATGACTGTCCCAGAGAGCTGGGGGGCAGCAGCCTATGGTCACTGGGGGCCCGAGGCCACTGAGAGCTGGAGATGTGAGCAGCTGGGCTATGTGCTAGGCGAGGTGCAGGCTGTGAAGGTGAAGGAGGAGGGGGCATCCACGGATAAGCTGCCCCCTGAGCTCGGTAAGGCACCCTTAGAACAGTGATATCCAATCTCTTTAACCACAAGATGACTTTTTCAATTTAAGTGCAATGTAACATCTACCTCAAACCCAAATACCCTTGCCCAGTTTCCTTTCCACTCTTCTTTGAGTCCCTGTCCATACTGCACCCCTTCTCTGAAGCTTCACTCTGCTCACTCCATCCCCTTTCCTTCCCGAATCTCATTCACTTTCACTAGGCTGGGGTAGGGGGTTAGGGTGCAGGTTCTGGTCTTGGGTCAAGGGGTTTGGAGTGTGGGTGGGGATGCCCTGAAGGTAGGGAGGTGGAGTGCGTTCTGGAGTGGCCTAGGGGATAGGACAGGGTTGGGGGCTCGAGTCCCTCCGCCCACCCTAAGAGCAGCTGGACAGCCAACACAGGCTGCCCCAGGGGTGGACCTGGCTCCCGCATTTGGAAAGCAGGATAACTGACCTGCTGAAGGCAGGGAGGTGGGGTGGGATCTCCAGTGAACTCAGGGATAGGGCATCAGTCTCTGGAGCTTGATCCCACCCCCCTCCACCCACCCAGGCAGCAGATGGGCAGCTCACAAGGGGTGCTCCAGGTATGGACCTGGCTTCCACATTAAGGAAGCAAGATAAAGGACCCTCTGAAGGTAGGTAGGTGAGGTGGGTCCTTGAATGGACTAGGGGATCAGGCATTTGCCTGAGGAGGGCAGGGTTGTGGCCTTGAGACAGCTGCTCCAGGGATGAAGCAGCAGAACTAAGGCAGTCTTACTCCTGCCCTGACCCTGCACTACCCCTGAAAGCAGCTGGCTTGTACAGTAGTGGTTCCATGGCACCATGTGCTGCCTCTCATCTACAGGCATCAACCCCACTAGCTTCTATTGGCTACAGTTCCCCATTAACTGATCAGTGGGAGCTGCAGGAGTGGTGGCTGCAGGCAAGGACAGCGTGTGAAGACCTCCTGCTCTGACCCTGTCAGGGGTAGCAGGGACATGCCAGCCACCTCCAGGTGCACAATTGCCATAGGGATAATGATAGATTTGGCAGTTTAGAACTCACCACTCAATTAAATTTAAGCATAAGAGAGAAATGAAAGCTATGAAATGCACAGACCTGTCAAAAAGTAAAAATAATCCACTTTGCAAGCAGTAAAAGTAGTGACAACCCCCCATGTGTGTGTTGGGTCAGGGGATGAGGGAAGGACAGTGTGTGTTTGTGAGAATGACAGAGATTTGCCTTGCCAACCTCCCTCCATCCTCTTCTCTCTGTGTAGTGGTGGAGTACCCTGACATCAGCACTCCCCCTCTCCCTCCCACACCTTTGCACAGCAGGCAGGAGGCTCCCAAGGGGAAGCTCCAAGGCAGAGGGCAGGAGCACCAGGACAGTGGGTAGAGGGGCAACTGAAGTGCCAATGCTTGATAGTTTGCTGACCAAACCAGTCAGGATCCCCTGTCAGAGTCTCCAAGATCTACTGGTAGATCCCAATCTACTGGTTGGTGACCACGGATGGCCACACTGGGTCAGAACAAAGGTCCATCTAGTCGAGTGTCCTGTCTGCTGATAGTGGCCAATACCAGATGCCCGAGAGGAAGGGGACACAAAAGGGGATCACATGAAGATTACTTTCCTGTCACCCATTTCCAGACAAAAAGAGGCTAGGGACACTGCTACACATCCTAGCTCTTTTTTGAACCCTGTTAAAGTTCTAGTTTTCACCACATTCCCTGGCAAAGAGTTCCACAGGTTGACTGTCCTCTGAGTGAAGAAAAACTTCCTTTTGTTTGTTTTAAACCTGCTGCCTATTAATTTTATTTGGAGACCCCTAGTTCTTATATTGTGGGAATGAGTAAATAATAGTAGCCCACTGTTTGTGACTCTGTGACACTGAAACACTGTCTGTTCCCTCTGGGCGGTGCTGTTGCCTCCCACCGTGGCTCTCAGCTGACTTCTGCGTTGCTCAGCCAGGCCGCCGCGCAGGAGCAAGTGGCCATTTGGGCCCCGCGATCCCCATGCAGCACCCCATCGCGTAGCCTAACTTTCTTGAGGCTGTCTAAAAGCCCAAGAGCACTGGGGCCACATCCTCCTCCAGGATGGACCTAGTCCCCTACTGCTGGCAGCCCCAGGCCATCTGATCAACTACCACAACTGTTCTCTGGCCGCTGGCTCACACCCCTGGTGATGGACGTCACTTGGCTGGTCTGTGCAAGCCCCTCTCCCTACTAGGGATGTTAAAAGGCGTGTAATTGGCTTTTAAGCTGGCTCCTGGTGACCATGGGCTGCTGCCCCACGCTGTTGCCGCTGTATCATATGCAGATACAGGGGCAGCAGGGCAGGAGGCAGTATGCACTGTGGAGCTGCCACCCTGCTCTCAGGGAGCTGGCTGCTGCTCCGTGCCGCTGCCTCTGATCCAGAGGCAGCACCTCTTAAGCCATCTCCCCGTGCGTATTGGCTCATGCCTGCCACCTCGCACTACTGCCCCCTTCTCAGGTTGGTAGAGCTGGCTTGGCCATCTTCCACTGAGTCAAGATTGGGTGTGACCAGTCGGGGATGGGAAAGGACACATGAGCAAGGGGAAGGTGGCCCAGAGTCTCTTGTGTGTGTGTGAGGTTCA